TGCCCGGCGGGCGGGGCCCACGGCGGGCCCCTCGGGTGTGAAGCTCTTTCCGCTGCCTGTTTAGGTGCACTGCGCTGTTAGCTTCCCCTCGCCCGATCTGGCTCCGGCACCGTCTCTTCGTTTCCTCTTGGCGTTTCTGGTGCTTTCTGCTTGCAGGCCTCTCAGGCGTCGCCCTTTGCGGGGATGCGGCCTGTCTCCGATGAGCTTCCAGCGTCTGGGCCAAGCCCCGCGAGTGCCCCAGGGACTGACAGGCGTCCTTTCCTGGGCTGGGTGATGGGGGATTTGGCTTTTGCCTCCCTGCAGCCACGAGGGAGCAGATCCTCCCACCGCGCTGCCTGCATGGATGTGAAAGCGCGGCGGCTCTTTACTCCTCCAAGAAGAAGCAGTTGGAGCTGGGCCTGCGTCCCGGGTCCTACACGATTTACGTGTTACGATGTGTAACACGTCTTTACGTGTGTTACGATGCCCTGCCGTAGTTTCCTTGTCTCTCTGGAGCCCTCTCTGTACTGCCGCTGGGTCTTTTGCATTGCCCAGAAACATATTCCTGTGTCACCTGAACAACGGGATCAGGTGTTCAGCTTGCTGTCAACCTGAACAACAAGCCTGTCACCTGAACAACGAGCTCAGCTTCTCCAGCCTTTGGTTGATCCCCCAGCTAAGCTAGGACATTCTTCAGAAAACCCCGTCCATCTTTTTGCTTGCATCCCTCCTCCCCAAACTTCACTGTCAGCCTTACTTGATTCACGTGTCTTCTTAAAAATGCGTGTATGTGGGTTTTTTTTTTTCCTGCTATATTTGGATTCTTTCCCATGCCCTGACCCCTTAGTTTGCAGGAGTGGAAATGGGCTCTCACAGGCTTCTGTTCACATGCCAGCCCAGCACTCCTTAGCGGAAGCTGAGGAGAGCTAATTCCTACCATCTCCACTGTGCTGCAGCAACCATATGTATATTCCCTGAAATGTCTATATTTATAGCAATAGCTATATAAATTATGCATTAGGATGAGGAAGTGAAAAGCTTATTCAGACCACCAACCTCATTTCCAAGCAGCACAGAATCACTTGCCGTGTTGTTTAAGTATTGGTTACAAGCCTAGTGCGAGGCATAATGAAGCCTGCATAATCACTAAATTTGTTAAAAAAAAAAAAAAATCTATTCCAAATTATCTCTGTGCTTTGTGCTTATGCTGATCACCTCGGTGGCCTTTGGCACATCACCTAGTATCTCCATGCCATGTAGCAACGAGTTCAGGGACCTTGCTTCAGTGCTCTGGGTTGTGCATGCTAAATCATCCTGTGCTAGCTTTGGAAGGACGCTCCAGCAGCCCTGATCTCAATCCTACTCACTCCTACCCGTCCGGCTGTCTTCCCCCAGACTCTCCTGTCCATCCCTGCCTGCCTCTTTCCAGCCTGGCACTCCTCTGCTCACGGTCCCAGTGTTACGGGCAGGAAGCAGTTCATGCCAAGGCACTGCAGAGAAGCAACTTTACAGATGTACGTTGAGCCACTACCACGCCGTACAATGAGAGCAGAGCGGGAGGAGACGACATGTGGTGATCAAAAGCCCTTGGAGGGCCAGTTTCCCTTGCTGACCCGCAGTCTGTCTCGCTGCGTCCCTTGCTGTGTGCCTTTGCCACAGGTTGTGGGCTCGGCTGCTGGCTTGGGCTCGCTCTCCCCGCACCTTTCACCAGGGCTCCTCCAAGGGGCAGAGGATGTGCAAAGGGGAGAAAGGAGGCTGCAGGGTGAGGTTGCCAACAAAGACATCTCCCCCCCTCCGTCGAGTGCTGGAGAGGGGAGGCGGAGGGGGGGAGAGGTGGGGTTTAATATAAGCTGACATCATATGGCTGAGATGTCTTTTTTTGATCTTGACAAAGGCAGACGGTGCAGCTCATTGCCATCATTAGACAAATTACAGGTGAAGCAGAAGAGATCACAGGATATTTCTGGTTGTTGTTGTGTTCAGCTGGGGGAAGGGAGGACGAATCCAGGGCAGACATGTCCTAAAAATGAGAGGCAGAGAGAAGCGTTAAATAACAGGAGCCAGCTCCCTGGGTGGGGGGAACGCAGAGAGCAATTGGGACAACGCTCTTTTCGAGCTGCTGAGGGTGTGGAAACTTGCTAAAAGCTGCAGCGCAGGCCTATTGAGATGATTCTTCTCTCTCTCCCCTTATCCTTCTCCCCCTTCCCAGCTCTCTGGCCCCACGGAAGGACTGGGATTGCTGCAGCCAGATGAGATCGTGATCTGCGTGGGGACATGCTTTCTGTCCCCTCTGTCACTGCAGGCAGTCCCAGCTCCCTCCATTGGCGACAACGGGGTCTGCTTGTGGTTCAGTGAGTCAAGTGCAGATGAGCTCACACTGATCCCACAGTTATTTCCATGTCCACCACAGACATTTTACTTAGCTTTTGGCTGCGGAGTCCAAGCAGGCGCTCCGACAGCACTGTGGATCCCAGCTGCAGAGAAACCGCAGCCCCTGGGTGGGCGGGGGAAGGAGCAACGCTGTCTCTGAGGCTCTCCGCTCTCATTTATCAATCCCCGTTTTTGTCCAGCCTTGACAGATGTCCCTCAGCAAGGGCTGAACCCTGCCTTCCCGTGGGCGGCAGAAGTTCTTGCTGCTCATTCCTCCAAGTCTTTCACCTTTACTGCATCCTTGCACAGCGGGGGACCCCTCTGCCTTAGCCCCCTTAGTAAGGAAGGACCTGTGGGTGTGTGGCCTGTCCCAGGGTGACTTGGAGGGGGCTGTGATGGCTCAACAGTCCTCACCTGAAAGTCGAGGTCTTTGGCACAGTTGGTTTCCTCCTGAGAGGCAAAACAGTTGCATGACAGTTGCCACAATGAACTGCACCATGCAGATGCCGTTTGCTTTTATTCCCTTTTCAAACACAGGCAGGCAGGCAAGCACCACAGGGGGATAAAAACCCTGCAAACCGAGCTCTGGTCCATGGGGAAGGAGAGATGAGAACATGTGCCGTTGCCTTGCAGCCTCTGTGAGCTAAGAAAGGGGGGTAAAGCATATCTAAAGCCAAAGGGTAGGATTTAAAAACTGCTTTTCCTGGTAGAGATGATGGCATAAGGAGGTGGAGACTCAGGCTGGCAACATGCCTGAGGTTCTGGATTTAAAACTTGTCAAGGAGAGGAGGGGAGAGAGATGAGGCGCGGTTAGTGCTGGCGACCCAGCTGTATTTCACAAATCACTGCATGGCTGTGTCAGGTTGTTTCAGTTTGCAAGGCGGGAATAACAAATCCTTCTCTGCTTCTGAGTGGCACACTAAAGCTGAAGCAGGTGTTTAAATGCACTTTTCCTAAGGGCGGACAGAAGAGGCTACAGTAGTACATGATATTGAAAAGGTAGTTCCTGATTTTACTCTGTGGGCCATTGTACATCACGCTGGTAGCACAAACCACTCCAAAAATGGGTATAAGTGTAATGTAGCTGACATGAAGATGCTCCGAGGCTGCCGATTAGGGCAATTAATGTGAGTGAAACTTGGGCCTGGTCATCGCTGGGGCTCCCTGGGAACGGTGCAGTCACACCTGGAGACAGGGCAGCACTGGCCAGTGCAAGAGAAATTGAACAGCACACCTTGCCCTGCCACGTCCTTGGCTAATTTGCTGTATACTTCATCCAGTGTATTGCTGAATGAATCTCAGGGTATTTTCTCTCTGATTTCTCTCTTGGTTCTCCCTCCAGCCAGAGGAGCTGTGGAAACAGGCTCTGGAGATGGCATCGAGAGAAGGGCTGACACTTGCCAGCCAGGCAGTGGTCCCCGTCATCTCAGCACGCTCTTTCCAAACCTCCCTACGAAAGAAGCATTTGCGTGGCTTCCTCACAGCCCTGCTCAGTGCTTGCTTTGTGAGATCTCACTTGACCACAAGCAGCTGACTCAGGGTAGACCTCTCAGCAGTGCTGCTCTGCGTGGGAAGCACAGGGACTATGAAGTCACGCTTATTTGATTGCACTCATTCCCTCACTAATAGGCAAAACGATATAATTTGCAGCAAGTGCAACTTATTAAGGAAACTAATGACATTTCCACTTTTGTTGCTGGACTTCATTTTCCTTTGGTGAAGGCCTGCCATAGCAAACTTTTGACCCAAAGGAAATCACTTTTTCCGTTATACTCTTTAATTTAGCTAACCATCTACATTTCCTTAGCTGTTTGAACAACTCAACCAAGCTTCTCAAATGGGTTTCTGTATTTGAAACTGCAAAAGCACCCAGAAGGCAGGTCTTCACTACTGGAATATCTGACTGATGTTCTGACATGCATCCAAAGGGCTTTCTGTGTCCTGCGACTCCCTCATCTCCAACAGCAGACCAAGGAAGCATTTCTGTGAATCTTCCTGGAGTGTCCTCTGTTGTTGGCCTTGAGGCAAGGCTAGTTTGATAATGGCTCTCTTCTCCTATGTCCCTACCTAACTTTGGGGAGTTCTTGGGAGCACTGTTATACTGTGAAAATCTTACCGATGACGGGAGTAACAGAGACAGAGGGTGTAGTCAGTGGGACCTGTGCTATGAGCAAAAGGGGTCCGTTTTGATTACAAGGCTAGCTTAAAAAAAATCCCTGAGCTGCAAAGATTGAGAGCAAGACCGTGATATGCAGGTGGACTCACATGCAGTAGGGCACATTCTGGACATCTGAGAAGATGCTGATGCAAGCTTAAAGGACGCTAAAGAACAAGGAGGAAACTGAAGCATGGGGCTGCAGGTAGCTCTGGATCCACTGCAGCCAGGAATGACTGGTTCGTGCAACCCAGCCAAATCCACGTGCATGTTTGCTGCTGAGTCTGGGCAAGGTGGAAGTAGGCAAGGTGGTGTCCAGGTGCCTGGAGTTGGTCTGGATAGAAGGAGGGGAAGGGCACATGCTGTCCATCCCCGATACACTCCATCCTTGACCGATCCTGGCTGCTCCGTCCATACCTGGGGCCTGGCTCTACATGCTTCAGTTATTTGCATTTGCATGAGTCTCTGACTAATCCCCAGTTACTTGGCACGGCCTTGCCTACTTTCACCTTGCTCCGGCTCCATCCCCGGTCTTGCTTGCGAACACGTCTGCAGTGTGACTGCAGGCCCTTGGCTCTGCATCACTTTCCCTCAGCTCCTACTGGTGTTAATGTCACTGAACCGGGAAAGGACGTTGCTGTCAAAGAAGCAGAAGGTGTTATGGTTAAAAAATGCTGCTGCTGCCCAAGACACCACCATCTAGCGCACAGTTTACCATCACCTCATTCTGGTTCAATATTTGAAACATAGGATTTACATACGGGGAAAAACTTGAATAGTGGACTCAGCCGGGCTTGGGATTAACCTGAACTCAGAAGAGCTGCTGCCCCAGCATATTTTTTTGTGTCATTCATATGGTCATTTATTGGCACCTTAAATGCAAGAAACGTGCCTGAGGTTTCCCGGCCATCTCCTTCTCCATCCAGAGCTGATAAGGGTTTCTCTGATAAGGTTTTAAGGGTTTCTCTTCTGGCTGGGTGGCCCTGTTGCACCACCCCATGCTGAGCACCTACAGAAGCTCTGGATGGCTGCCCTGTCTCCAAGCACCCTGCGTTCACCTTCACAGTGCAAGCAAATTTGTAGCTGCAGGGAGGTATGGAGGAAGACCAAGGCTTTAGCCTTGGGCAGGCCTCCTCCAGGTGGTTTACATGTGCACAGCAGTGCAGGGGCTTCCTCAGAGCACAACTGCAGTGGGCTGGAAGCACCCCAGCACTGCTGGGCTATTTGTTTAGGCACCAAATGGGACAGTATTTGGCACATATTTATGTCCGGAAAACGCTGAGTGGCATGTGGCAGCCTTGTTCTTAGTGAAAGCTGAACTCCAGCTGAAGCATTTCTGTGCTGTTGAACTGTACGTGGCACGTTGATGCCTGGTGCCATGTCACTGCTGCAGCTCCCATTGGAAACCAAATGATCTGACAGCACCTGAGAGCCCCGACGCATGTGGCAAACTGCTGTTGCTGGTGGTGCTGGTGGTGCACCACCGATGCCCTCCTGCCAGCTCCAGGGTGACAGCACTAATGCTTGTGTGGCAGGGAAGCACGCCAGGGAAAAACTAACCCAGTGAGACAAAAGATATTGCTGGTTCTGAGGTTTTGACTGCAGGAGCAGCATGCAAGCATTAAGCCCAAACTCAAATCTGCTCAAACCAGTGGAGAAATTATAGAGTGTTGGGCTCTCCCTCCTTCTGGTGTCTCCCCTGTGGTAGCAGTGACCTACGAGGAGAGCAGGGGACAGTTGGCTGCGGGATCTTAACGCATTTTGGTGTAATGACCCAAGTGGATCCGGGTGGCCTGCAGGTCCGGCACCTACCGGTTTTCTGGAGGGCTGGAAGGGCTGTCTGGCTTCATCACTGCAAAACCATGGTCTGCCTTTCCCTGCTGGGCAGCAGCACGCGATGCTCAGCAGCAGCCGTCTCTCGGATTCTGCTGTCACAGCACAGTGAGGAGCTGTCACCCTCCGCAGCTCTCTGAAATGGCCCCAAAATGATATTTGCTCCTGTCATTTTTGTCACATTTGTTAGATACCCGGAAAGTGATTTCATTTCCCCTTCTCAAATGTACTGTGTCTTTGTCTGCCTTAGGATTTGCTCTGGAAACGTGATATGCTTTCAACATATATTTTTTTATCTGCTTGGTTTTTGCTTTGTCCAAACCATATATTTCTCTCCTAGTATGGTCAAAATTATGAGGCTTGTGTTTTCCGCCCTCTAGAATGGGATTAGCGAAGCAATAACCATGGTGATGGTCAAGGTGGGTATCAAGGTTGACTTCTGTGAAGTTAAAATTAAGCACAATTGCAGGCCCTTCTCTCTGGAGATACACAGCAATCTCCCGGACTGCCCATTTTTTTGGGGAGCAATCCAAGAAGCAGTTAACTAATCCTAGTGGATCTGATCCCGCACAGATATCCTGGGCTATCACAAGCATATTCTTAATGTTTTTAAGCTATTACAAAGTTGTATTAAGCAGAAGGGAGCTGAGGAAGACAACAGGAATATGAGAGGGAAATCATGTAGCACCCCAGTCAGCTCTCATAGCTCTCAGCACAGTGCTGTCTCTGTGCCAGTGAATTAAAGACGGGCACGGGCTAGACAACAAACTGCTTTGGGGTATTACCTTTCACTTTTTTCAGCAGCTGTAGCCAAGAGGAGCACATGGACTCTCTTGCAGTCCACAGGTTTGTTTAGGGAGTGGGTTAACCCTTTTGTGGCTGAAATGCAATTTTCTACAAAACCAAACCTTGCTCTTCTTGGCTCCCGAGACACAGGTGTGTAGCTGGCACAAATGTGGCTCCAGGCTAGGACAGTTGTGCAGATTTTATAGGCCCTGCAACCCTTCCAAGCCCCCCCTGCCATGTGCCTTATAGGGCTATAGGTGTCAGTGAATAAGCAGGGAGGGCTGGGCTGCTGGCAGGAGAGCAGCAAGCTCTCTGGGCTGGAGCTGGTCGGTTGATTGATTTGGTTAAAATGTGTCTGTGTTAAATGACTTTTGAGTCACGGTGAAAATTTTCCCTGTGTACAAAAAACAAAAAGCAATTGGGTTGTTCCCATTTCTGTACTACTGAAAAGCTGAAGCAGAAAATGTTTGAACACGACTGTCATCAGTAGCAATTGTGGAGCCAGGTTTTGATTCTGTAAACAAAGTATTTCACTGAAAGCAAAAGTATTACTTCAAAAAATAACATTTTTCTGTTTTCTCTTTTGAGATCTTCCGGTCAAAACGCACCTGGAAATCGCTGGAGCCTTAAAATCCTGTAAAGCTCCATCAGCCCCAGCTGATACATTTCTGCATCCTCCTTCTCCATCCCCGTGCCCTATCCTTGCCCTCTCGGCGAGCTCTCAAGCCCTCCCACCCTCCAGGGAGCAGTGCCCGCCACCTCCTCTTTCCATGCTCAGCCTGTTAAATCACGCCTGCTTTTTCTCTTTGGAAGAAAAAGTCGTTTCTGATAGTCTAAAATCCTTTCCAGCTTGGCGGCTCGGTTGGGGCTGAGCCCCTTGCCCCCGCGCCGCGGTGCCGGAGGAAGGAGAGCATCGCTCCGCCGGGCTCCCCGCGGCTCTCGCTGG